TGTTCCACTGTGGAACGTGAATGTGAACGGAACGTGGGCAAGATCGAGTGTCCGTCCCATTGCCGGTCTTTGGCCAGCAAACGTGTGGCGTTAATATGCGTCGCTCTGGCTTAGCTCGTTCATGTTAGTGCTTCCTTTTGGCATCGCCAACATGTCAATTATATCGTATCAAATTAATAATTGAGCAAACAAAAAAAACTAAGGAGAAATATACATACATATGTACATATATATACATCCATCTTTATGTATGTCTGTCTGTTAATATGTGGCACGTCTTCGGCCCATTTGCCAATAGAGTTGCCTTAAGGAGCTGCCAGTTGTGCGAGCCGATTGAGGCAGACAACCATTAACTCGCCCCATATCGCAGGCAAGCCAGTCCCGTATCATACTTCTAGAATACCCGGACTCTTTCAACTACTCCTAGAAACTTAGCGCTCAAACTGCCTTGGTAAAGTGACAAATAAAAGCTCCAGACTTGAACCAACTATAGATTTGATTTTAGGAAATTGAACGAGGACTTTTCTATTCTATACCAGTAAAGTATAATGTATAGTGTCTACAATGACCCTTTACTTCAGATCGATCGGGGAAAAATCAGAACGGAAATAATAACAAAAAGTTTTTATCCGATCGCCAACGAACTCTATTGCTTTCGGTTGCCCACTGAGTTATTTCTCTAAGTAAAAGACTGTAATCCATTTCATGTTCCTTATTTCAAACAGAACAAAGAATTCAAAATGAGATTGATAAGGAGCCTGTATTCCCTATCAATTGTCGTAAAACTATATGCAAGGCTTAATATTTAATTTGATTGATGATCTTTTTTGAAGAGAAGACTAGGCAAATCGAAAATTAGGAAGGCACTAATCACGTCGTTAATTGAAGGCGTGGCAAAAGTTAGAGTTGCAAATGGGAAGCTTTTTAGATATATTGACGGAAAGCTCTTTACCTCTCCCGTTGAGAGTTGGATGGGTTGTACATATGTATGTGTCAGTACACAAGTTGTTCAAGATCATGACTGGAGCTAAGTTCAAAATGAGAAAATGATTCGAGTTCACAGATATCCCAGAAAAATACTTGAACTGATCAAAGAGAAATACAAATACAGAGTATCACGTAGTCAGTATACAGTTTATTGAACTAGTTGTTCATTCGGAATCAACTTCTGTAACGAAATCTTGCAAATTAATCAACATTTTTAGTGGTTTTATTGAAATGTACCAAGCGAGATGACAAAACACAAAACTGGTTAACAACATTTTTTCCAAGTTGTTATTGTTGTTGTTGCGTTGGCGTCATTTGCGGCTGTATGTGTGTGTGTGTGTAAGAGCCGAAACGGTAATTATCTTTTGACAGCACTTTGCTTGAATTTGGTATTGACATCCAGCTAAAGATCGAAGGCGATGGCAGCGGCGACAAGAGCAACGCTTTAGCCAGGCCGACAACTGAGGTTAAAACGTGGCCGATTAAACTGACAGCCAGACAGATGGACAGACAGCCAAGCAGCCAGCAAGTAAATTGCCATTCAGGCGCACCAGGGACAGCGACTGTTGCTTAAAACGCCAAAATAAACGGGGCTCCAATGCACACATACATTCATACATAAGTATAACCATGTGTAGAACTATGTACTTGAGAGCAGAGCAATCTAAATAAAATCATAGCTGAAAATAGACAACCTTTTTAAAAGTTTTTAATTTTTAGAAATTCTCGTTTTATTTTATTTTTATATTTATTATTGAGTTTGATATATTAATTTAAAAGCAAAATGTTCTGTATTTATTTTTATTTATTTTATTTGTATTCTATGTAGCATACACAAAAGCACATTTTGTTCAAACTTCAAGTTAAAATTTGAAATCAAGTCAAATTGTGGTGAATTTACAGCAAAAATATATATGTACATCTATACATACATATGTGTGAAAAAATAAACAACAAAAACAATTGAAAATAGCCAGCTGACACTGAAACAATGAAAGTTGAAGATCGAACTATCGCCCATCTCTAACGCGCTCTGTTTACCAATAAGCCGCTGCGCGCGTGTATGCGTGTGCATGTGCATGTGTGGGTGCGTACGTGTGCGTGCGTGTGGGATGAGCTAGGAGAGAAAAATGAAAACGGCGCCAACGATAAGTGAAATTCGTGCAAAGAGAGCACGAAAATCGAAGACAAAACGCAAAGTCAAACGAACGTCGCCAGTTGAGACCATCGAAAGAAATAGAGCCGCATGCAAAATACCAAAGAAAATTGTGGAAAGATCATAAATAAACGAAATATCGATCGCGATCGCGATCGGGATCGAAAGCGGGATTGGGATTGGGATTGTTGCCACAGCGCAATATAAATATATACATACAAGTAAAATTGAAGAAAAACGCGCGAAAGAAGGAGAAACAGCGAGGGAGAGAGAGAGATAGAAAGATCGCGATCGAAATCGAGAGGCATGGCAAGCAAGCGACTGAGTCTGATGCTGGAGGAGCCACTGCACTCCAACGATGGCGCCAGCAATCTGGAACAGCGCTCGGCCAAGCGGCACAAGGTAAGCGACGAGTCGCCACTGCAGCGCATGCTGCAGCGTCAGATCTCCGGCGGCAACTGCACCGTACACCTCTCGCCGATCACCGAGCTGGCGCACAATATGCGCGACACACAGCTGGATGGCGGCGGCTGTGGGACGCCCAAGTCGAGCACGCTGCGCAGCTACAGCAGCATCTCGTCCAGCTACGACTCCAGCAACTCTCTGGATGACGAATATATGGCCATGTTTGAGCTGGAGTCAATGGAGCAGCGGCCGCTGGACAAGCTGCCCGGCGATCTGGATGCACTGATCAGCGGGCAGCTGAAGAGCACCAGCATGGGCACGGCACGCAATAGGACCGTGCGCCGTTGCCTCAGCATGTCCGAGCAACAACTGGAGGAGGAGCAGGATCAGCAGCAGCACGATCAGCCGCAGAAGGTGTTATCTCAGGCCGTGACGCCGGTTAAGACGAGCAACGTTAGCATGCGCAAAGCCGCCTCCATGAACGATGCGGACATCATGAACGCCCTGGCCGACGAGCCGGAGCTGATCGGGGATCTCAGTAAGCCGTGTGCCCTGCCCGTGCTGCTGCACGGCGTGCGGCATCGCGATCTGAAGACCATCTCGTGCGAGACGCTGGCGCGTCTAATGCGCGGCGAATTCGCCGAACTCCAGAATCACTACCAGATCATCGACTGTCGTTATCCGTACGAATACGAAGGCGGCCACATACGTGGCGCCCTCAATCTCTATACGCGCGCCCAGATCAAGGACGCATTCCCACCGTGCGATCAGATCGCTGACCAGCACCGCATCTACGTCTTCCACTGCGAATTCTCCTCGGAGCGTGGACCGAAACTGTTGCGCTACTTGCGCAGCAACGATCGCAACGAGCACACCCACAACTATCCCACGCTCGACTATCCCGAGCTGTATCTGCTGCACAACGGCTACAAGGAGTTCTATGCCAGCTATACGGATCTCTGTGAGCCCTGCGACTATGTGCCGATGCTGGCGCCAGCCCACAATGAGGAGTATCGTCTGTTTCGGGCCAAGACCAAGTCGTGGCAGTGCGCCGATAGCGATGGCGGCGACAGCGGCATTGGCGGTACAGATGGTCACTTATCCTCCTCCTCTTCGTCCTCGAGGCGGGGGCGCACTCTGCACAAATCACGATCCCGCCTGCTCTATGCAGAAGAATAGAATACCTGAGGATATGGCCATGATGGAGCTCAAGCAAACGATCTAGAATTTAGAGTGTCATTCTGTTGCATTGATGATGCGCAGCGTTGCCGGACTGTTTCAACGATCGAGCCATTCGCATAAGATCTAGTTAGTTTAGATGTTTAACCCAAAGGACGCAAATTTGAAGTTTCGTTAAGTTGATGCGTTTTCCCATATATGTTAAGTGGAATTTATGTGATTGTTTAACTTGATTTTACGCTTTACAGTTAGCTGTTAACGGTTTACGATTTACGGTTCTGGTTCATTGTTAACAGTTCTCAAATGTTACCCCAAAAATGTCCTCTAGTCAGTGCAACAAAATTTATATTTTTAAGCTATTTTCGATTGTCATCCCTATGTATGTGTGAGTTTCTCTTCTATTCCTTTTTTATTTTCCTTTGGCGTTTAGTTAAATTTAGTTTTTCAAATTTTCTTTATGTTTAATTATATTAATAAAATTATTCGAAGCAGTTTCCAAATCGGATACAAATCGCTCTTTCAGCTAAGATTTCGATCATATATTTCTATGTATCTATAGGATTAAGTGATCGTTAAACAATTGATGAAAGTATAATCAATCTATGGAGCTTATTTGAAATTTAAAAAAAAAAACAAAAAAAATACAAGTATTCTTAATGTGATGTAGCAAATAAGAATCTTTATGTTTAAATAAATCTCTCTTAATATAATCTTAATCGAATGTGGAAATATTGAAAAAGATACCTTATGTTTTTATTGTAGCAATCATTTAAAAAATGAATAAAATTACCGTAAAATAATGGACCTATGTGGAGATCCTTGTGAAGAACAAGTTCAATCTCGGCATAGAATAAGCTGAGAAAAGGATTATGATTTATGAATTACAACAAAAATGTTCAGGGGACTTACTAGTCATGCACTGTCATATTAAAGCGTTTAATTCCATTAAATTATTAAATGCGGGCAATACAATGTCTCTGATCTATATTTGGAATACGTAATTAAGAAACAAGGCTTACATAGCCATAGAGAAAAGGTAGGATTTCATATCTGTATGTCTGTATATAGGTATGTATGTATATTGTGTATATATGCATGTAGACAAACACTTTGGAATTTCACAATACTTTCGCTTGCCACGCCTTCTACTGCTGCTGCTCCTGCTACTGCAGATGCCTCTGCAGAGAGATAATAAAAATGAAATATTGCCCGAATGTGTTCCGTGCAACAGCTTCAGTTCAGCTTCTCTTTCACTCTCTCTATCTCCCTCTCATTCTTTCGTTGCCAACTTGGCTCCTATGTATTGCCACTGCCATTGCCATGAAAATCGGATAGCAGACATATTTTATGTTGGCTAACTGGCAAAAGAAACTACGAAAAAAAAATTACGTTTTATTTATTGCCAACAGCGGAATATTACGAATATTACACAAGAGACCGCAACGGGCGCCAACTTTCACCCACCGCCAGCCACCAGGAGAGAAAGAAACGCATATCATATATTCATACATACATATTCATGTGTATATGTACATTATATACGGGATAAATCAGCTGAACGACAACTGTCTGTCTGGCAATTACTCTTCTCTAACCTACCTACCTGCGCATGCTCTTACTTCCTTTTTTAATGTGTGTGTGGCTTTTCGCGTGTGTGTGTGTGTCGAGCACAATTAGTGCTCAACTTGAGTACATTGTGTAGGCTAGAGCGAGCGTCAGCTGTGAGGTGAATAATACAAACCCACCACACTGGAGCGTGAGCAGAGGACAGTTTCAACTCCTAATGTAAGTTTACATAGAAAATTTAAATAACGTGTATTTATCAATTAAAATTGACTGCAATTTTCATTTCAACATTCAAATCAACTTCATTGTACAATTATTGAGAATGATTTTTTGTTCTGCAAAATAATATCTAGACTAAGTTAGTAATCAACAAATATATTCGAATAGTGCTTAAGGCTCAAGGTGAGTCGAAGGGCGCCTTGAAGCCGGCCTTGTTATAGAACTCCACTGGAAGAGCATCGTCGGCATCAAAGAAATCCGAATCCCTCGAGCAGCATGGCCCAAGCTCCAGTTTGACGATCGTGTCGCCCCAGAAGCTGAGCATCTTGCGCTCGAGCAGCTCGTCGCGCAGCTTGACAATCCACGCATTGTACTGCCAGGGTCCGTAGAAGCCAGCGTCGCTCTTGTACTCCTGCAACAGCTCGGCGGCCTTCTCGAGCTCCGACGCGCTAGGCGTGCCCTCGAACAGTAGCTGCCAGATGGCCGAGCGGGCCGCCTGACCAATCTTTTCGACATTCTTCTTGTGCACCTCGTCGGGCACAGTGACGGTGGTCAGCACGTAGCGCTTCATCAGGTCACGATAGTCGCTCAGCGGCTCCTCTGCACCGATGCGCGCTTCAAAGTCGCCAGCCAGGGCAGACGCATTATTGGAATCCCGCTCGACCTCCTGGCTGCCATCCTCGTCACCGCTGGCAGCTGCCTTCTCGGCTGCGCGCGCCTTCAGGCTGGCCGCGAAGGGCGCCACACAGCCGGCATGGGCATAGAACTCCAGCGGTGGCTCATCCTCGCTGTCAAACAGATCCGAGTCGCGGGACCAGCATGGACCCAACTGTTTGGCCACAATCGTATCTCGCCAGAAGTCGAGGAGCTCCCGCTTCAACAGCTCGTCCCGCACCTTCACTATCCACTCGTTGTACGGCCACGGCGCATAAAAGCTTGCGTCACTTTTGTGTTCTTCGAGCAGTTCGCTGGCTTTTTTCTGTGACTCAGCATCGCCGTATTCGTCGTTGAACAACAGCTTCCATATAACGTCACGGGCAGCACTGGCGATTCTCTTGAAGTTCTCCTTGGTCACCTCGTCGTCGACTATCTGATCGACCGTTACTTTCGTTTCGATGAGTTTAGTGTAGTCCTTGAGAGGCTCTGTTGTGCCAATGACAAAAATGTTCTGTGGAAATATCATTTATTAACTCATTTATTGCTGATAGTCCACTCCACTTACTTCCTTCTCGGTGGCATTCGTTTTTGCTGCTGTAGATGTCATTTCGTCTCCCCCTTCTGAATTGTCGGCTTTACGTTTTGACATTCCTCTTGATTGTTGTCACTTTCTTAGGTTTACTTTTAATTTCACACTTGTTCGCAACAATCGATAAATGGCAAAAAATTACCGAAAATATTCCTTTACTCCAACATTTCTTAAAATGCTCCACATTTAACAGAACTCAGTATCTTAGTATGGTCTATGTTAAGTGTATGGTATTTTAACATTAGACATCTACGGTCACACTGATTACATTCAACAAAAAATTATTCGTGCTTAAGGGTTTACGCTTGTCCCCAATTCTAAAACAACTAATTTAAATTGCAATTAGTTGCGCAACAATTCCATTAAAAGCGTTCATTGAGCTGCAAATAATCGTGGGTGCATTTATCGCAACATCAAGTGTTGTCCTCCGGCTGTGTTTCGTCTGTGTCTCATTCAGACTTGGTGAAAAAGTTTGAGGTTACAATATTTGACCACGGCAGCAAGAAGCCAAACGACGTGTTAATGCCTCCCGCAAGCAATAAATTGCCCATTCGAATAAATATAAAACATTTCTAATACGAGTGTAGCAGACAGTAAAAAGAGCCTGCATAAAAGCAAAAATCCAAAAATCAATTGTATTTGTGTCTGTGTTTGTGCGTGTGAGTGCAAGTCCAAGTGTGTGCGTGAAATTCCACTTCTCGTACTCGAAAGACAACGAAAAAGTATCAAAGTTATACTCAAATGTGTATGGCAATTGTGGTAAGTGCACAAATAGTTGACCAATAATAATAAATAGATCAAAGTCGATGTATTTAGAGCGAAAAAAAGGCATAACGCTTTCAGACAGTCCAAGTACATACATATATTTGTATGGGGAGTGTGACCAAAGTTAGTAATTAAATTAAATACCATGTCGGCGAAGGGGGTTCATTGCCTTGCAACGATTTCTCTTATGTACTTGCTGCACTTTGTGAAATAAATACTTCCCAGGGCGTGACTGGGTTTACTTTCAAATTTATCTTATATTAAACTAGTGATCCAGCTTATATCGCCAGTCCCATTATCCTCTTTGTCTTGCTCATTGTCATGGCAGAAAGTAATGTAAAATTAAATTCGATTCATGATGAAATACATGCAGGATTCATCCTTTTATATACTATTCGCAATCCTGAACAAATCACGTCATTTGCATTTACATTTATTTTAATGACGGACTTGGCAAACTCGAGCTAATTAGTTTCGCGTGCCTATTGAGCTAGCTTAATCTACAAATGCAATCTTGCTATTGCTATCCCTCTCTCTCCTACAGACACAGAAAGTGAATTGGCATGAGTCGAAAATTCGCCAACTCGTGAAATGATTCAGAATTTGGATTAACGCTTATTCAATTTTAGGCACTTTGCTTATGAGTTATTGACCCACATGCACCTGCATATACATATACATATTTATGCATATATATGCTGTATTAAATATTTATGTACATTATGACGTAGCTAGATGAAAGTAAATGTCTGCACTGGATTGACCCGGTTACAGTTATAACTGAAAGTAGTGCAAGTGCAAAACTAGGGCATGACCAGCACAGACGAAAGAGAACAAAACATGATTCGAGATGCATACATATGTACATATGTACATATGTATGTGTGTAGATGTATATACATGTATGCAAATGCTCTAAATTTGTGTTTACTTTCATTCGCAAATACAAAAAGTACATACATATGTATATATAAATGTATATGCATGCATGTTAGTATATATGTATGTATGTACGTCAGAGCGCTCACTAATATCTAATCTATATTAAATGCTCAAACAGATTTATCATATCAACGTCAACTGCAACAAAATAATATTTAAGCAACAAATAGACGACGCAAAAAGATTCACTTGAGCAAAAGGCGAAAAAAGATTTATATTTGGATCAGTTGTATTTCTTTCCGAGCAATTGAGGACGCGATATACATCTCCATTCCGTACAGTTATCATATTATTTATTTTTAAGCACATACACACACACAGAGAGACAGAAACAGCAATGAGCATAAATTTATTATCAGTTTGCATCGGTCAAGAATTGCCTGTTGGTATGTGCACTCAACTAAATTAAAGTTGTAGTTGATTCATTTGTATATATGTAAATATGTTTATAATTAAATACCGACCGTATTATTTATACATTTGTTTTTGTCTCGTCTGCAAGACATACATACATACAGACATTCGTACAACTCTTTTTGTCATTTGCGTCAATGCGAACAAACAAATAATCTAAATGAACGGCCGATTATAACTGTAAAACAAAAGCCAGCCGTATTTATTCACATACATACATATACGGTAACCAAGTACCTAATCGTAACTTTAAATAACAGTTAATCCAATTGCATATGTAGCTCTCGGCATGAACTGCCTCTCTCCTCGCTCTTTTGTTTTCAGTTTCCGTTCGTGGCTTTCTGTACATTCTCTGCGATATTTGCGCTGTCCTTGAACAAGTTCAATGATATTGCTCAGCGCATAGTAGCATCAGTGTTGTTGCTGTTTTTTTATTTTTTTATTTTTTTTTTTTTTTACCCTGAACGCATTTTTATACTCATTCATTTTGTTTTATTTTTATTTATTTTTTATTATTTATTCTTAATATTAAAATGAATAGAGCGGTGGATATACATACAACATGTACGATCCGAGCAACTGTATTTCATGTTATCATTTGATTTTATTGTCTTTGCCTGGCTTCTCTACGTATGCCTTGTGCCACTTTGAAATTAGACAAATGCATGTACATATGTATGTACATATGTACTGTGTATCTTTGTACATTGCGATTTCATATACATATGTATATATGTAGGTTTTTTTTTTATATGACAGCGTGGGCATCCTTCAAATCTAAATAAAATATTTAATTTAGGTTTTAAAGCCAACAATTCACTTATGGCACGTCTGTGTGAGTGTCGCAGCACAGAGAAATTTATTCATGTTTATGTGATTAGATTATGAAAGCTGAAAACAGATAATATGAAATACTATTTAAATTTGTTTGCCCTAACAAGCGAATAATTTATTTTTAATAGACAGTTTTTCGCTCGAATTTCGCCTGCAAAAACTATTTGTCAACAGCAGGTCGTATATATGTATGTATGTGTGTGCATATGTATTTATTTTCGCTATTGTCACGTTTCCGGAAGGCGTGCGATTTGCGTTAGTGTGTGTATGTCATATCTAAATATAGAAAAGGAAGAAAACGACCAAAACATGCAATATTTACAACGTCAGTTGCCGTTATTCGCTTGCCAGAGGTGGGGAAAGTGGAATTGGGAACTGGGGGAGTGGGAGTGGAACGTGGCACAGGGAGAGATAAAGAGAAAGAGAGATAGAGATAGAGGCGACACTAAAACCACGAGCCAAGTCTAAATATAGTTAAGCAAATATTGTTGTTGTTGCTGCAGCCGTTGTTGTTTTTATTGTTTTTGTTGTTGTTGTTGTTGGCTACCATCTAAAAGGAGAACTGCATAAAACGACGACAATTTTTGACTGGATAACCTTGCAAAGGGTTCTTTGCTGGCATGTGCAAGCGACATTTACAGCGCGAAATCGTTCCTTGGCCTGATGGATACGAAAAAGGAGAGAGAGAGAGAGAGAGAGAGAGAGAGAGAGAGAGAAAAAGTAATCAGAACTTGTTCCTTAGGTATTCGATCTGCGGCACAAACAGCGATTGCAACCTTCAAACTGTAATCATGCTCCATATACTCCATATATGTATGTATGTGCATACACACACATACAGACATACAATGCCTATCTGTATATGCATTGAATCAAATGCGATAAAAGGGCTGACGCATTTTCCGGCACAAGACGTCATCAAAATTATTGTTGCCTTGTTGCTTGGCACCAAAAGATTATCAGGCCATAATACAAGACTCCTCAGGCACTCCACATACACAAGTCGACAAGCGCTATATGTCAGTATATATAAAGATATTATTATATACAAGGTTATATACTAGCTTCTAGAGCACTTACAAATTTCTCAACTTTGCCAAGCAATATAAATCGTAAACAGTTTTGATAAAGTAGAATAGCTTCAACACTGATAAAAGACGAAAGGAGAAAAAGCAAAGGTCTTTCAAAAGTAGTGAGAAACAATGAGTATTAGGTAAGTTGTGCACGCGAGCAAACACTGAATACAATATAGAAATTGACATAGTATTCAAATGTAGCATATATGGACACATGAATTTTTGTACTTAATTAAAATTTGAAAGCCGGCAAAAATGTTGATGTAAACAAATAATTATTTTTGTTTTCAATACTAGAACCCTGCGCGACATATTACGTCATTCAATTGCGAGAATTACAATTTATACAAGTTTTATATGTGTATAGTTTGTAGTGTATGCTTTATCTAGATATTTTATTCAATATAACATTAAATCAAGGAAGAAAAATGAAATTAATGCACAAAAGTTATTAGGTTCAATTTGGAATTATTAAAAACATAAATTCGTTGTAAAATATTTTCGTGAAGCTAATTAATTTAAAAAAAAAAAAAAAACTTTACCCATATATATAACATATATTTAAATATTTTGTGGTAATAGAACATAATGAAATTTATTTTTGTTAAATATACAATGTCAATGCACTTTAATATTCATATTTAATAATCTTTAGACAGCTTTATTCTTCATTTCGAAGACTAACGTCAATGTCGTCGTAATAACTGCTTTTAATAGTACATAAACAAATTATCTATAAACTATTAATGCTATTTAGCATTAATGTTGCCTACGAGTATAAAAATAGAACAACTAGAGCTTCATCTACTCTACCTGAACTTTTTGAGCCACCTTCGATTAATGGGTATCCCATAAACATAGACAACGACCTCATTTTGTGCCGTACCCAACCCAAGCCCAAGCTTTTAGTACCGATAATTTCCATTATGAAAGTGAAAGGGCAGACTAGCATTTTATGCTGTGTTTACACTTGGATTAGCCACGCCCTCAACACCTCCTTTTCTGTTCGTACAGGCAACAGCCAGCAGCCGTTAAATCAATATTCCGGAGCAGAGTCGCTCGCTTCTAGCACAATAGTGTCCTAGTTTTTTTGCAGCTTTACGTGTGCTCTACTTTTCGCTCGAAATGTGCCAAATACTGAATTGTTAATGTTGTTAATCAAACAATATTATTTGCCAGAGTCAAAGAAACTAATTTAAAGTTTGTTATGCAATATCAAATAGGTTATGTATAGCCCATTTATTGAATATGAATGATTAATATTTTTAAAGAAAGAGATAATCGTTTAAAGTTTTTTTTTTAAATTATTATTATTTTTATTGTTATTATTATTTAATGATTTTTTAAGGGAAATACAAAGGTATATATTCTATAACCTATAAACGTGGAATTTTATTTTATGAACTTAAATATATTTATTCTTATAAGGTTCTTGGATCGATATTTTAGGATCCCAAATGGAACACATTTATAATTGCATAGTGACATTTTGGATTAGATCTCTTTATTTAAACTTTAAATTTGCAGTCGAGAATCGGAAATATGTATGTAACTCTGTTTTATTCAATCCAATATTCCTATTATAATCTCTTGAAATTATTATGCCTATCAGAATGTACAGTATCCGCTTTAGTGAGGGCTTACTGTCCAGGACATTGCCGCATTCAAACTTTTTTGAAAGTTCCCAGGCCTTTGTCTGACGCAATTAATCGATATATACATATTTATGTAATTATTATATTCTCTTTTTAATCGAAATTGCTTTTTGCACTTTCCTCCAATTAGTTATATTGATGATTCATCACAATTGGCGAAATATCAGGCAATGTCTGGCCAGTGTCTGGGTATTACTTGAAAGTTATCCCCTTGAATTATAAGGGTACGTTTGAGCATATTGAATGACAGACGAATCAAGTTTCTTCCCGTCGCTGTTTAGATTGCTAAAAAAAAAATATATATATATAGCTTTTTCCTTTCATTTAGCAATATAATAAAAGAGTAAATATGCATTTTTTTTCGGCTGCGAACTTCGATATTTTATACCAGAATTTGGATTTTTTTTTCAGCTGCAGCCTTGTTGTCTAGAGAATACCCGAATTCGCATACCTAAGAGGGTTCATATCTGTTTTCATTATTTTATTTTTCCTTGTCTCGACGAGTCTTCGGCTCCTTCTGTTGCGTTAGTGTTAATGTTGTTGTTGTTGTTGTTGTTGTTTGTTTGTCTACCAGCGACATGTTTCACAATGGCATTGACTTGTCTGGCCGGAGTGCAATCAACTCTTGGCTCTCTGCTCTGCTCACTTTATCCTCAATTTCTTTGGCCAGCAAAGTTTCAAGCTTACCTTCCACTCTATGTCTCTCTCCCTCTCGCTGTCTCCTTCTCTTCGTGATTACCTTTCCCTCTTTGTACTTCTTCCCCTTTCGCTGCTTCAACTTTATCTACTGCCACTCTCTCAATATGTCTCACGCTCTTCCTGTCTATATACATATTTCCTTCTCCAACTCCTTCTTACTTTCCCTCTCTTTCTGCTCATATATTTTCCTCTTGAGATATGAATTTAATCTTGTATTCCTCGAGATATTCGTAAATTTTATTCAATTTTTCACTCAAATGTTATGCTTGAAAACCTCGAGCTGCTGCCTGTACTTATATATGTATGTATATATATGTATGCATAAGTATATACGTCATATTATAGAGATAAGATTAGTTAACGCAGTGTCTCGTGTCTACGAATAAAGTGCCAAATAAGGCTAACACGACTTTCGTCATGTCGCCAAGCGGATTGAGCTGGCACTTTCCAGTCTGAATTGGTGTATACGTCTATGGAATGCCCATCAGCATGGAACTAAATAAAATCGGTTCAGCTTTTTGAGATATGCTTTAGATTGATATTTATACAAGCTTTACGAAAAATATAATTAGTACAGCAATGTATAATTAATAAACTCTAGTCGGGTATTTAGATCTCACTTAAATGCAAATGCGTTTATAAATCACTTAAGTTCTAGTTTAGATGTGAATGCCTTTTAATATAGAATTTATGATCTTCTGGTTTGAATAAACCCACACAAAACTAAATTTAGTTGGTAGAGTATGGGTATAATTTATCATTTACCTGTTTATAAGCTAATATATTTTGTATACTATCTAAAATAAAATACCTTTTTCGCATTGCTAGACTGTAAAATACCCTATAAATATACTTAAATTTGTTTATATTATACTAAGCTCATGGAAATCAAAGTATAGGGTGTTGGAAAATTAGTCATGAACTTGAACATTTATACATTATACAATATAGATATACATGAGGCCTTCCTTTCCTGATATATCAAGCAAATTAGCTGAGCGCATTCAAGCGTGGCCTGGGGCTTTGTTGTATAGGGGAAAATTGTTGGAAAATTCATCCGCCCACTTGGACGACCGTGTGGGTAACAAAAAAATAAAAATAAAACACAATTACAATAAATTACAATTTACACTACAACCTACACACATAGTACCTGCCCAGCCATAGTCCGACTGTCTGGAGCCTGATTCTACTGCCGTCATATTAGTTTAAACTGGTTTCAATTTAAATTGCAATTGTTTTGCGACCTGACCTTGAATGTGTTTGGTTTTTTCTGTTATCGTGCGATAAATAATCAGATAATTCTTTTCAATTTAACTGTCGTAAGTTGGTTTGTTATTTTTCTTAAATAACATTGACCTTGGCTCGAAAGCTGTTGAGCGGTATTTGCATTCCGAATTAAATAAATTTAAAAATATCAAAAAACATTTCTCCGCTTTTTAATGATTTTCTTAATGGGAAAAACTTACATAATAAACAAGTGTATTTTTAAAAATGTGTATTTATATTATGCTTCGCAAGTACGTAGAAATACATATGTTTCTTTATAATGAAAACTAAAAAAGCAAAGCAGAGTGAATATGAAAGAAATTCCAAAAATAAATACATTTTAATAGGCCGGTCTCTCCTCTGCATAACTTTTTCTCTCTTAGTCTCAATTTGTTGTTGTGTAATTTACCTTTGCAGTCGCATTTCGAGTATCATAGAGCACATACTATATGGATATAACTATATAAATATATATATATAATAATATAGGCGTGTCGCATTTAAGATTACGAAAGTAAATATGTTAAATATAGCATAATTAATACATAATGATTTGTTGATGTTCTATTTTCGACTTGATATTTGCGCAAATTATTTATATAATGTTTTTGACTATGAGCTATAAATATTTATGCTAAATACATAATTGTTATTAATTTTTATCGGGATTTATGAAAGCTTTCGTATCAGATAACACGAATTCCAGCTTAATCATCTTTAAATTAATCGATATTTCGATTGGTCCCTCATGCATTTGAAGTTGAGGTGGGCCACACTCGAAATTGGCTTTGTTTGTGTTTAAAACGATTGAAAACAATTTAAGGCGACAGCAATTCATACGTCTCGTTAAAAGGCTTAATAATGCGCCAGAATAACCAAATATTGCTTCGAGACGGGAGCATTGTACGTACGTACGTACGTTTGCAAGTACATATGTAAATACATCCAAACGCACATACATATACAATATATAGATGTATATACATATGTATACGCGTTTGTCCATATTCCATAGCGATGCGAGTGAACTAATGTGCGTCACAGCGAGAGGTGAGCGCCCAAACACACTCGCAGCTGAAAGAGAGAGAGCAAACAAAACAAATGAACCGCAAGTACTCGTAACCGTTTTCGTATTCGTATTCGTATTCGTATTCGCATTGGCATTCGTGTTGCACTCTCGTTCGTTTTTCGCTCACCATATTTTGTTCGCTCAGGCCAAGTTCCTCTCTCTCTCTCTCTGTTTCTCTTTGTTGCGCTCACAGTAATTGTCGTTTGAATTGGTATTGGTTGATGGCTGGCTGGCTGGCTGGCCTGCTCCGGCAATGAGTTGGCAACGTTCAGTCGATAGCAAAAGATGATACAGTGCTCATCGCGCAGCAATTGGTGTCTGCTCAGTGTAATCGATCAGCGTCTTAGAATTGACACCTGTCGATATCTAATTGAGATATTATCGCGCCGCATTACTGGCGACTAAGATTAGAGTCGGTATTAATCACTTAACACCATATACTAATTATAACTAACAAACAAATAACACCAGTGTCATCATTGTATATAGTATCTGTATATACCTGTCTCTCTGTGTGTGTGTGTGTGTGTTTTTATATATTTGTGTTTGTCATTTTGCAAAGACGCAAAACAAAATACATTGCATAAGTCAAGTAAAAACCAGAAGAAAACGCCAAGTAAACAGCTGATATAGTATATATGTTCGAACATACATGCATACGTATATACGTACAGATATTTCACTCCCGTACGGCGTACGTACACTCGTTTCGCGTGATTCTGAGCTCCTAATGCCCCAAAGGTACAAGCAAGTGAAAGTTGTTCAAATATAAATCATGTGGCCCAAAATGACGAAACAATTCACATCTAAATACATATATTTATAGACAAATACCAGGCTATACGATTTCCAAGAGTTTGTTAATTAGTTCTACGTTTCCCTCTCGAGAAGCCACAAGTTCTACGACTGCTCTATATGTGTGTTTATACATATTCTATGCATGTCTATAGTTAGTTCCCATGCTCTTTCCATTTTTATCAACAATATTATGCCAAATTTCAGCGGAATCGGATTGTTTGTATAGTTATATTTAAGGCCTGCATAGGCCGACCGACACACCTTCAAACAAAGCTAAATATTTGCTGAAGATATTATCTATATACAACTAGAGATATGCCAAATATGTATGTATCTATATGTGTGTGTGTGCACCAGTGTCTCTATATATATACACTCATGATGAAAATAATAGGTACACCAAATTTTTTTTTAGATATTCTGTCATAACTAATTAATATTTGATATTTTTGAAAAAAATTTGATGGTAACT